ATAAATATTTATTGCAACAGTCAGTATTAAACAGGTTCAATTGAATGAACCGGTCGGTACTGTGCATGAATTAAGTTACTTAGGTTCAAAGAGTGAAAATGTAAAACAATAGCTTAAATGGTCTCTTAATGGGAGATTAGTTAATATGATAGGCTATGTTAAGATGTGATACTGTGTGTGCATGTTTAAAATCTAATTGTATGGCCTGAAGAAATAGTCATTTGAAAGAATCCTTATCTCGAAACTCAGTCGATGACTGTTCACTATGTTTATCGATTGATAGAGCATACCCAAAACAAACTCAAGTGACCCATCAAAGTTTAGGCAAGCCCATCAGGTGGGTGTCAACATGTTTAGTTACCTTAGGGATATAACTCATAACACTCGTCTCAGCAATGGTTTTACAATGGCACACGTATGTCATAAGTGTCTCTCAGGACAAACCATGTTGTATCGTGTATGTTTAAATGACATGTGGCTAAGTTAGTCATAACTACTAGGACGAACGTGCTCAATTTTCATTCGAACGACCCTTGTAGAACGATGATCTACCATTATGCGACATACCCAAGCCACCGTATTCAAATAACGTGTTGAAAGACGGCCATAATAATAGACTGTATTTATTTATTCAATGATGATTTTTATTTATCCAGAAAATGTTTGAACCAGACGGCCCTATGTCAAACATCGGAGTCACTCAATTTTAATCGCTGCAATATCTTACGAATATAATTTCACTTTATAATAAATCAAATTAAATTGTATTTATTTTAAAAATTAACTTTTTTAAACTTATCAGTGATAATGAGATTTTATGAAAGTATGTTAAGTTACCGGTTTCCAAATAAATAGGAAATAAGTTCATGAGTTATTCCGGTTTATGTATAATCTTGGAAAAAGTGTTTTATTTTCAATTTATTTTCTCTTTATACTGGTATAATAATATTAATAGTAATAATGATAGCACGATCAATATTATCACAACATATTTCATCCGTACATACCTATAGGATTACGAATTTATCATTTCAGATTAAACATTTATATATTTTAATTTCAATTCCAGTACTATTGATTTTGCCAACCACGCATGTCTTAACTAAATGGGGGATTTCGTCTAATTAGATATTTCAAACACAAGTTAATGCCTCTGGTAGTTTGCATAAACCATTTTCAGTAAACTTCCATATTCTTACTAAGTCTTATGACTGAAATATCTAATAACTGAGTGATATGTAATGTTAGGTATTGGTACACTATTCTTAATTATAAGTGAACCTAAATTTTTTGACTAAGGGATTTTGTTGTGTTCACCATTCTGATTACATCTTACCTAAGTGCGTCATCTAAATGATTTATATCCAAAAATCATGTTACATGGAAAGCAATATTCCGAGATGAAAAAAGTGACGAAGAAATACCGGTTTTCAAATTATTAATCCATTGTTTCCTCGTCGAAATTAATATTCATACCTACTGTTAGTCTTTGCTTGTTTACAACCAATCAAATCGTGCCACCACTTAGGAATATTGAGTTATAGATTAAAGTTTCGTTGTTGATTGTGTTTCGACCTTCAGATAAAAGATAGAAAAACTAGACCACAAATGAAATTTAAAATGTGCTGAATACATAGTCGTTCTATTATGGAACTCATTTTTCGAAATTCATTTTCACTATGTTAACTGTCTAAATTTAATAGTGCTTATTATAATCTAATGTATTTTAGTGAGTATATATATATCCATGGAATATTTTTGTACTCCTAACGGTTACTTTATCTTTCTTAGAGTTGTCGTTGTGTATGATTATTATTATCATTGACACATTGTATGTATTCCGTTAATTTATTTTGATTTGCACCACTTTACAAAAGAAAGAAAGAAAGTATTCCATTATGATGAATTCACCGACAAGTTTCATAATAAAATTATAACATATTTATAGTTCTATCAACTATGCATTTATATAATTGATTTTCTGAAACTGTTATAATAACTTAGAGATTATGATTAATATTTGATGAACTACTAAATAGTTAAGAGTTCATTATGTAAATGATTTAAATTTTATATAAAATACTCACAATTTAAATAAAATAAGTTGGATTTTCTTCTCTCAAGAGTATCCAGTCATTTTATATACTTTTCATATTTATATATGTGTTCATCCAACATTAATCAAGGTCATCTACATTTTAATAATGTGACCAAATAAAAAATATCTAACCAATCATAATCAACTTATAAAATCAATACAATAGGTCATTAGGTCGTTCGTATTTCAAATAGTTGACAAAGCAAAAATATCATTCAAAATTATAAAACATGTTTTTTTGAGAACATCATACGAAAACAATAGTAATATTGATAGTCGAGATCATGAGTCAATTAAAGCTAGACCACTATGGAAAATCTAGAAGCACTGGATGGCCGTTTCGTCCTAATGTGGAACTCCTCAGCGGTGCGCATCCACGATCCCACTTTGTGAGATTCTAGCCCAGGACCTATCAGTCTCGCGCGTTAGTGCTTAACCATTAGACCACTGAGCTGACCGACATCCAACGGTGTTAATGTCTAACTTCAACTAATCCACGAAATTGAGCGATACATCCACCATTGTCTTCATTGAGTTGATATCTCACAACAGACCTGATTGAACTCCACTGTTCACTTCTTCTCAATAGAACTCCAAGAAATACCTTTTGAAGATCGTCATTAGTGAGCATATGTGCTTCCAGGTTTTCCATAGTGGTCTAGCTTCAATTGACTCACGATCTCAACTATTAAAATTACTATAATATCCACAAAACTCCTTCTGATAACAACCGTAATAATTTAAACAAAGCAAGAACAACAAGGTTTTGTTTTTGCAGAATAAAATGAGTTGTTTCACAGTTTCTTATCAAATACATACAACCCTAAATTTACAATTACTAATAATAAATTTAATTGTAAACAATTGTTTAGCATACTTTAGTTTGTGAAGTTTAGATAAATGTTCACAGAGTAACCAAAAGTTATATTTTGGGAAGTAGTAATTCAGAGTGGAACAGGTGTTATAATTACCAGTGCTCATAAAAGAGCTTATGTAAGGGTAATGAGACTAATAAGTGATTAGGTAATCATTGAATATGATGAAACAAACAAATATATGAACATCATTAAGATTATGTATGAGATGAATATCGGGAGACGAAGCAAAGATATAAGGTTAAAAGTTGAAATTAATAAACGTTATTCGATGAACTCCCAATCATCATGCCAGAGAATAGTTAACCGCAATTTTTGTCACTATATATAGATCATGTCTAGGACGTTAATAGCTATCGAGTGATAATGATTATTGAAAAAAACTAGTAAAGTAATCATAATAATGGTGATATAGATTGAAGTATATATGAGAAAAAGAGTGACAAATTAATAAGAGGTTATACATTCTGTTGAATAATTTCAGAATTATTAGGCTCGTTGTAATCAACGTAAATCATGAATAATGATATGACTAAAACAAGTGGTGTCATGATAACCACAAAAGGTGTGTTCGAACAAACAAAGCAAACAGTAACTTTTAAAAAGGCCGAAAGGGACAAGGAAGGGAATGTTAGTGGCGAAGCTGTCACATTCTCAGTGCCAAGTGATCCCCAAGTTCTTCGTGTATGTATAGACGGACTGAAGCGAAAAACAACATTTGTTTCTATTAATCAAGATCGTGTCCATCTGTATATGTTCAGAGATTCTCTTTGATGTTATCTTCGTTCTTCCAACGTACGTGTGAATAGGAAGATACGATTTTAGATAACTAAAAGAAGCCTTTTAGTTGTATTTGTGATTATGAGGTTGATATATCTCAGTTCAGTGTTGGTCCTTAGCCGACGATTTTAGACATACTAATGAAATCTTTGAATGGAAGTTTGACAAATTTTTTCATTTTACGAACAGTGGTTTCCTACTGCATCATTTGTCGACTTATAACTCTGATTTATGAACTGCATGGGATAATCATTTTCGATAAAGTTCTTCCGGATGAATCGCACTTTGTTGTTTTGAGGATCTTCGCAACATAATCTGGTTACCGTTCAGAATATTCTGACAAGTATCCTTTCATATGCATTTCAATAAAAGCTGCTGGTTTATGAATATTACCCTGTACAGAAAGTAGTACGTTAGGTGATTAAGTCTGAGGAATTAATTGTAATTCGTGTTCGACGCTCGAACGTCAATTTTAGATTTAACTTAGCCAGATTTAAACGTCTAAATACATCATTATGATCAAGTTTATTGCATAGGATGAAAGTAACATTAACATATTTCGAATACGAAGATATTTGCGTCTTGAATCATTTACATTTCTAGTTGTACAATGAATACAACGACATATAAAGTGGCCCAATGAACTCATCATCTCAATACCTGTTTATCTATAATTTCCATTAAAGCGAAAATGAACATTTTTCTAAGTGGAGAACCAATAATTATTTAACTCTATATTCAAACAATTTAATCTTATTAGTTCAGTTTAATATAATGTCAGTAGTCTATTTTTATTGTTTAATTCGGTGATGTATTGTGATTTACTACTCTTACAAAGTATCTCTAAAAACTCGTTTTATTTTTCATTTTTTTAACAACGTATCACATGTTAATTAGGGTTTAAATATTTAGCATATGTAAATATTCTGTCATACAATTATTGGAGAATATTACTGAAATATATATGCAATCTACAAAATTATAATTCCGAAGTAACTAACGTTGTAAATACGAATCACCATGTAAACTTGAAGCTGTTCTTGTATGTATGTGTTAAGTGAAAATTAATGGATATTTGATAATAGAATCCGAATTTTCTTACTAGATTTTCCATTTATTAACTAGGAATTTTAATAAAAAAGAATAGGATTTGAACTGATCAGACGTTGATACAAGTGGGAAATTTGTTTTCCAGTTATTATATTTGAATAATATTCCTATAAAAGTTAGGTCTTTATATATTTCAGATTTGACACATTCAAAAAAGAAAAGAAAACGAAAGAACAGAAGTCCTACGGATAGTTCTAGTAGCACTACTTCTAGTTCTAATCCTTTAAAACAAAAACCAAAATCGTTAATTAAAGAAGAAGTGATCACATCATTTACTGGCGATCCGGTTGTTTATCCTCCATGTGTACGTCTAATGGTACTAGCATCACAATATGCTCAAACAGGACAACTTTTTATCATTACAAGTCAAGAGTCAACTGAAGGCAAGGGTTGTATTGGCAAATCGTCTCATTTATGTCCATATGCACATTTAACAAACGACCCAGAGATAAGTGAGGTAAGTAAAATAATTAATCATAAAAAATAATCCATACAATATGATAAACAAAACTATAGCATTACTTAAAATTATATATATATATGTGTACATGTGTTCAGGCGGCTTGTTAATCGTTGAAGGTCTTGGGAACAGGTGGATGATGACAGTTGTGGCGATGATCTGTCTGGTGTGATTGGATGTGATGACTTGTGTTTGGTGTGTGAGGTGGATCATTGTGTTATTGTCCGTATAGTGTTGGTGGGTATGAAGCGGTGGCTGGCACTTGTTCTTACTGAGAGATGTGTTGTTCACGGAGATGCATTCTACCAGTATGATGTGTTTGTTATGAGTTGAGGATTAGGTGTTGTGAATAGTATTAGTACAGTGTATTGTGTGGAATGATGCTAATCGGTGTGTTGTGTGATGTGTGTTCTGCATGATGGATAGTGTTAATTTAGCGCGATAGAATTGCCAAAGTTGAGTGTGATGTTGGATATGATCTACTGAAATGATGTAAAGTAGTATAAGTGGGTAGTGTTTGTAAAAATTGTAATTGATGTTTCCGTGTGTATTTGTGTATATGATGGTGATTTTTATAGAGAATTGGGTTGTAGTTATAAATGTTTATGTGGTGAGAGTGTTATATGGTGATGCGACTGGTTGTATATGTTGTATGTGTGAAACGTTTGCTAATTGATGATTGAGTATAATGTGTTGAAGTATAATAGGCATATTATTGTTGAATGGTGTGCTTAAACTTACTTGGCGCCGGGACCAGGGTGATCACGAATGCTCTGGCCCCAGGTGGAGGCTCGCCATTGCACTCCGGCGTGTTGAAGCCTGCGACGATCCCTAATCGGGCTCGCTCGGACGCGTAGTTTTTGTCAGTGGGGAGGTCTTCGGATCATCCCTTTGAATAGTAATATAGTTCTCTTCAAACTCGACCACTGCCACACCATACACATATTCAGACTTAACAAAACACACATAATCATCAACTTCCCAACTCTAGACACTCAACACCTGACATACACTCCTCTAATTTCATTGCACAATATGAAACATCAATCACCCACCACACTCAAACAACTGCCTCCACAAATAACTACTTACACCACTTCACTCATTCCATAAACACCAGCTCTTACACAACCCAACAGACAGACACTGGTCCACTGGTGCTTCGCATTAACGTGCACATTACCATCAAGCGAACTTCACACTCATCTAGTTCACTAGACCAGTTCATATACTTGGTCATGGTTGCGTTGTCATTGTGATGAGACTATTCCATTCGATGGCAATTATCCTATGTCACAATGTATATGTATATGTATGGGTCGTTCGTAATTCAACATTGTTAGTTGGTGTGTCCGAGTCCTGTGAGTAGTGGTGCTGCCGCTACAGGGGAATAAGTAGAGAAGTATATAAATTAATGCGGTGTAGTTGGAATGATTTGACAAAGCTTTGAATACATACAGCTCACTTCAGTGACGTTCATGTTTGTGGTTATGGTAAATGTAATCACGTATGATATTTGTGTCACTATATATATATGTACATGTGTTCAGGCGGCTTGTTAATCGTTGAAGGTCTTGGGAACAGGTGGATGATGACAGTTGTGGCGATGATCTGTCTGGTGTGATTGGATGTGATGACTTGTGTTTGGTGTGTGAGGTGGATCATTGTGTTATTGTCCGTATAGTGTTGGTGGGTATGAAGCGGTGGCTGGCACTTGTTCTTACTGAGAGATGTGTTGTTCACGGAGATGCATTCTACCAGTATGATGTGTTTGTTATGAGTTGAGGATTAGGTGTTGTGAATAGTATTAGTACAGTGTATTGTGTGGAATGATGCTAATCGGTGTGTTGTGTGATGTGTGTTCTGCATGATGGATAGTGTTAATTTAGCGCGATAGAATTGCCAAAGTTGAGTGTGATGTTGGATATGATCTACTGAAATGATGTAAAGTAGTATAAGTGGGTAGTGTTTGTAAAAATTGTAATTGATGTTTCCGTGTGTATTTGTGTATATGATGGTGATTTTTATAGAGAATTGGGTTGTAGTTATAAATGTTTATGTGGTGAGAGTGTTATATGGTGATGCGACTGGTTGTATATGTTGTATGTGTGAAACGTTTGCTAATTGATGATTGAGTATAATGTGTTGAAGTATAATAGGCATATTATTGTTGAATGGTGTGCTTAAACTTACTTGGCGCCGGGACCAGGGTGATCACGAATGCTCTGGCCCCAGGTGGAGGCTCGCCATTGCACTCCGGCGTGTTGAAGCCTGCGACGATCCCTAATCGGGCTCGCTCGGACGCGTAGTTTTTGTCAGTGGGGAGGTCTTCGGATCATCCCTTTGAATAGTAATATAGTTCTCTTCAAACTCGACCACTGCCACACCATACACATATTCAGACTTAACAAAACACACATAATCATCAACTTCCCAACTCTAGACACTCAACACCTGACATACACTCCTCTAATTTCATTGCACAATATGAAACATCAATCACCCACCACACTCAAACAACTGCCTCCACAAATAACTACTTACACCACTTCACTCATTCCATAAACACCAGCTCTTACACAACCCAACAGACAGACACTGGTCCACTGGTGCTTCGCATTAACGTGCACATTACCATCAAGCGAACTTCACACTCATCTAGTTCACTAGACCAGTTCATATACTTGGTCATGGTTGCGTTGTCATTGTGATGAGACTATTCCATTCGATGGCAATTATCCTATGTCACAATGTATATGTATATGTATGGGTCGTTCGTAATTCAACATTGTTAGTTGGTGTGTCCGAGTCCTGTGAGTAGTGGTGCTGCCGCTACAGGGGAATAAGTAGAGAAGTATATAAATTAATGCGGTGTAGTTGGAATGATTTGACAAAGCTTTGAATACATACAGCTCACTTCAGTGACGTTCATGTTTGTGGTTATGGTAAATGTAATCACGTATGATATTTGTGTCACTATATATATATGTACATGTGTTCAGGCGGCTTGTTAATCGTTGAAGGTCTTGGGAACAGGTGGATGATGACAGTTGTGGCGATGATCTGTCTGGTGTGATTGGATGTGATGACTTGTGTTTGGTGTGTGAGGTGGATCATTGTGTTATTGTCCGTATAGTGTTGGTGGGTATGAAGCGGTGGCTGGCACTTGTTCTTACTGAGAGATGTGTTGTTCACGGAGATGCATTCTACCAGTATGATGTGTTTGTTATGAGTTGAGGATTAGGTGTTGTGAATAGTATTAGTACAGTGTATTGTGTGGAATGATGCTAATCGGTGTGTTGTGTGATGTGTGTTCTGCATGATGGATAGTGTTAATTTAGCGCGATAGAATTGCCAAAGTTGAGTGTGATGTTGGATATGATCTACTGAAATGATGTAAAGTAGTATAAGTGGGTAGTGTTTGTAAAAATTGTAATTGATGTTTCCGTGTGTATTTGTGTATATGATGGTGATTTTTATAGAGAATTGGGTTGTAGTTATAAATGTTTATGTGGTGAGAGTGTTATATGGTGATGCGACTGGTTGTATATGTTGTATGTGTGAAACGTTTGCTAATTGATGATTGAGTATAATGTGTTGAAGTATAATAGGCATATTATTGTTGAATGGTGTGCTTAAACTTACTTGGCGCCGGGACCAGGGTGATCACGAATGCTCTGGCCCCAGGTGGAGGCTCGCCATTGCACTCCGGCGTGTTGAAGCCTGCGACGATCCCTAATCGGGCTCGCTCGGACGCGTAGTTTTTGTCAGTGGGGAGGTCTTCGGATCATCCCTTTGAATAGTAATATAGTTCTCTTCAAACTCGACCACTGCCACACCATACACATATTCAGACTTAACAAAACACACATAATCATCAACTTCCCAACTCTAGACACTCAACACCTGACATACACTCCTCTAATTTCATTGCACAATATGAAACATCAATCACCCACCACACTCAAACAACTGCCTCCACAAATAACTACTTACACCACTTCACTCATTCCATAAACACCAGCTCTTACACAACCCAACAGACAGACACTGGTCCACTGGTGCTTCGCATTAACGTGCACATTACCATCAAGCGAACTTCACACTCATCTAGTTCACTAGACCAGTTCATATACTTGGTCATGGTTGCGTTGTCATTGTGATGAGACTATTCCATTCGATGGCAATTATCCTATGTCACAATGTATATGTATATGTATGGGTCGTTCGTAATTCAACATTGTTAGTTGGTGTGTCCGAGTCCTGTGAGTAGTGGTGCTGCCGCTACAGGGGAATAAGTAGAGAAGTATATAAATTAATGCGGTGTAGTTGGAATGATTTGACAAAGCTTTGAATACATACAGCTCACTTCAGTGACGTTCATGTTTGTGGTTATGGTAAATGTAATCACGTATGATATTTGTGTCACTATATATATATGTACATGTGTTCAGGCGGCTTGTTAATCGTTGAAGGTCTTGGGAACAGGTGGATGATGACAGTTGTGGCGATGATCTGTCTGGTGTGATTGGATGTGATGACTTGTGTTTGGTGTGTGAGGTGGATCATTGTGTTATTGTCCGTATAGTGTTGGTGGGTATGAAGCGGTGGCTGGCACTTGTTCTTACTGAGAGATGTGTTGTTCACGGAGATGCATTCTACCAGTATGATGTGTTTGTTATGAGTTGAGGATTAGGTGTTGTGAATAGTATTAGTACAGTGTATTGTGTGGAATGATGCTAATCGGTGTGTTGTGTGATGTGTGTTCTGCATGATGGATAGTGTTAATTTAGCGCGATAGAATTGCCAAAGTTGAGTGTGATGTTGGATATGATCTACTGAAATGATGTAAAGTAGTATAAGTGGGTAGTGTTTGTAAAAATTGTAATTGATGTTTCCGTGTGTATTTGTGTATATGATGGTGATTTTTATAGAGAATTGGGTTGTAGTTATAAATGTTTATGTGGTGAGAGTGTTATATGGTGATGCGACTGGTT